TTGTCAGCTTGGCAAGGGGGAGTGCCAGCCATCATTTTTAGTAATTGGAAGTCCATTTGTACATAGCGGTTGTTCTTAAGTTGGACATTCTTTTCTAAAAAAATAATACTTTATTGAGTTTTTTCCATTTATACCTACCCTATTTCTCCAACAATATGGCCTCCCCCAATAGGAAGTCCCAGCATGTTTTATAGGCATGAAATGAAATTAAGCCCCTCCCCCCAAATTAAGGCCTATATTAAAACATGCGAAATGGTGGGGGAATGGTGGGGGGGCTTGCTGTTAGGAAGTACTTTTTTTGTACACCCAGATATGGTGCTGCCTGCGTTGACCCCAATATGAAGTGCCCCACCAATGCCGAGGTCAACATCCAAGCCATCGCTGCCCGCCTGCCCAAAGATGCAAGGGGGGGAATTAAGTCACCCCTGAAAAGACGGCCTAGCCATTTTTTTGGGGCTCAAAAAAAAAAAAAAAAAGACCCGGCCTTATTATATGAGAAACACGGTAATACCAATAATTAATAAACAGTGCTATGACATTATATATACATTTATGTGTCCTATCAAGACTTATAATACACAATACTTTCATACTCTCTTATCTATTATATACATTATTTACATTTTCTATTCTTATATCTATTATCAATCCAAATAAACCATGTTTCCCATACTGCATTGTATTCTGTGTCTGCTTTCCCTTTTAATTCCATAGTTAATTTATCCATTTCCACACACTCTAATATTTTTTTTGATTATTAAGCCTTCAGGTGGTATGGAATTTTTCTTCCAGTACTGAGCATATGAAATTCTTGCTGCTGTTAATATATGTAATATAAGATATTTTGTCTTTCTGTTATAGCTTTTTTTAAATTATTCCTAAAAGGAATAATTCCGGGACAAAATCAATTTTGTTTTTAGTTAACTCTTCTAACCATGTTTGAATCATTTTCCAGTATTTTTTCGCTTTGGGGCATGTCCACCAAGAATGAAAGAAGATACCTTGTTGTTATCCACACTTCCAACAATTTGGTTTTAAATTTGGGTAGATTTTAGCCAGTCTTAAGGGTGCCAAATGCCAACGATAGAACATTTTATGTTGGTTTTCCTTATATGCCGATTTTGACATTCCAGATCTTTTCCCATTCTTCCAGATCAATAGTATGTCCAACGTTCCTACCCCATGCAATCATCGTTCCTTTCACAATTTCTTCCGCTCTTTCAAATTCTAATAAATGTTTATATAACTTTGATAATAATTTCTCATCTGGGCCAACCAAAATTTTATCTAGTTTTTGTAATTCATTATCTATTCCAAATTCCTCACTGTCTTTTTTATATCTTGTTTGAATTTGCATATAGGTGCACCGATCCAGTTTTATTCCATGTTCTTCCAATTTTTGTCTACTCTTTAAGTTCCCTAGGTCTCTATACCTGGCCGTTTTCTTAACCTCCATTATATTGGAATGGATTACTGCTTCCAAGGGAGATACCCAGTTTGGAGTTTTCAAATAATATTTGTTCTTAAATTGGACATTCTTAACCTGGAGACTGCTTTTATAGGAATCACTGCTTTAATTTGGCACAGATTGGTACAGATGTGGATGGGGAGCACATTATTCCTATATTCTTAAAGTGGCTATATTCTGAAGAATGAAGGCAAAAATACACAATGTTATAATAAGTGAATATAGTTATAATTACAGTATGAAAAAGTTTGGTAACATCACACTTCCTTTGGAAGAGTATTCAAATATCAGCCTGCTACACTCCTTTTTTAATCTTATAACTCATATAACATAATATATTGTACATTTCTACCAGAGGTGATATTCAGCAGGTTCTGACTAGTTCTGGAGAACCGGTAGCAGAAATTTTGAGTAGTTCGGAGAACCAGCAAATACCACCTCTGACTGGAGATTTTACAGTATCCTTCCCCTGCCATGGCCACCAAACCATGCCCACAGAACCGGTAGTAAAAATTTTTGAATGCCACCACTGATTTCTACCGATCCTGAATATTTGTTTTAAAGAAAAAGGTGGATCTTTCAAGTAGCACTGAGTAAGTTCTTAGAGAATGATATCACAGTGCCATAGGGAAAATTACTGCCTACATGATTCTGATCTATGTATTCTGATCTAGATGTATTCTTGCATCTGAATATCTGTTCCAAAGTCTTCATGACTATTCTACTAAATGCTAATCTGTATTGTATGCGGCCTTCCCTAACTTGCAGTTTTCAGAATTCTAACCGGGCACAGTTTGTGGAATTATTTAAAAGGCATCAAACTGGGGAAACTTGTTCTGGAATGAGAAAAATGGGAGACAATCTTATATTTCTTTGCCAGTGAAGAAATAAACACATGAATGTTTTATGGTATTTATTGGATAGCTTCAGAGAGCAGTGGGCTGAGAGATAACAATAGAAACTTGTGCTTTGAGAACAAAAATGAATCCTGCCTAGATTTGGAAATGAAGATCTCTTGAACTAGCTTTTCAAATTACAGTATTGCCCTGAGACAATGTTTAACTTAGGAAACAAAACTGGCATTATTTAAATCTTTTAAGTAATCTACCTGCTTATTTTAATTCTGAATTTGGAAGTATGAGGTACTTGTTGATATTGTGTTTGCACTGCCTGTCTTGGATTTAATTTATTTTGGTTGTTTGGCAAAAAGCACTGTCCATTTTGACAAATTATTCCCACTCTTGTCATTCAGCATTTTATTTACTCAGCAACAGACACTTACAAATGAAATCGGATGTATAATGCTGAAACTAAGCTAACAATATTTTATTTTAAAATTTTTGGAGAGGGAGAAGGGATAATACAATAGCCTTTTTGAATAAATGGGATATATTTCAATGACAGATAGCAGGTAGGAATATAGAAGATGGTCCATATAAGATGACATAACCTATGATGGGAAATTAATTGTTGCATAAATTTAGGTGGGATATGCAATTAAATTGTTAAGTGATAAATCTGAATGATGAGCATTCCAGGTGATTTCTACAGGTAGTCCTCGACTTACCATCACAACTGAGCCCACAATTTCTGTTGCTGAGCTAGGCAGTTGTTAAATTAGTTTTGACCCATTTTATGGCTTTTCTTGCCACATTTGTTAAGTGAATCTGTCCTCCCAATTGACTGCTTGTTAGAAGGTTGTAAAAGGTAATCACATGACCCTGTGACACTGCAACAGTCATAACTATGAGTCTGTTGCCAAGCATCTGAATTTTGAACCCATGACCATGGGGATGTTGCAACAGTTTTAAGTGTGAAAAATGATAAGTAACTTTTTAGTGCCATTGTAACTTCGAATGGTCACTAAATGAACTGTTGTAAATTGAGAACGACCTGTATTTCTTCTCAATCCCAATATCTATAATATGCTTATGATAATGACATACTTTTTAGGTCAATTATAAGTGTAACAGTAATTTCAACTGTTCAAACACCTACTGTATGTTCACATGGCTTGGTCAACTGATATTTGGAAGTGATAGCATATTCATATTCATTCTCTATCTCCCATATATGTTTAAAAATGCATAGGAAGTGGGAAATGGGTGATTGACTTCTGCTGGTATGCTCACAAGTCTGATTCCAAGTTTTTGTATGTTCAGCTGAAATGTACAGATGCTCCTCAATTTACAATAGTTAATTTAGTGACCATTCAAAGTTAGAAGAGTATTGAAAAAAATGATCTATGACTGTTTTTCACAGTTATGACTTTTGAAGCATCCCCATGATCATTTGATCAAAATTCAGATGATCGGCCACTGGTTCATACTTATGACTGGTGCTATGTCCCAAGATCATATGATCAACTTTTGTGATTTTTCTGACAAGCAAAGTCAATGGGGAAGCCAGAAAAACTCACTTAACAAAAGTCTCATTTAACAACAGAAATTTTGAGCTCAATTGTGGTTGTAAGTTGAGGACAACCTGTACTCAGGGGTGGGATTCAAATTTTTAACAACTGGTTCTGTGGGTGTGGCTTGGTGGTCATGTGACTGGGTGAACATGGCTTGGTGGTCATGTTATTGGCTTGGTGTGGCCAACTGAATATCACTCACATCAAAGCATGCATCTCCTCACCTGGTATCTCATGACTGCGGGGATGCTGCAAGAGTTCATAAGTGTGAAAAATGGTCATAAGTCACTTTTTTCAGTGCCATTGTAACTTTGAATGGTCACTCCACGCAAGCAAAGTATCAGCAAAGGAAGGGCAAAAAACTCCAGAGAAGTTCCTGAGACAAGAAGTCTGGTCCTGCCAAGAATGTAATAAGGGTTAACAGAGAGGCAGTTTCTGTAAGCAACATCAGAATGTTTCCTTCCTGCCTTCCTTACAGGATTAGGCCAGTAATTTCTTCTAACAACCAATTCTCTGAACTGCTTAGAATGTTAACAACCGGTTCTAGCGAATAGGTGCAAACTGGTAGAATTCCACCCCTGCCTGTACTATATGTTGCAGAAGGAACACAATCCTATGTATTCACTGCAGCTCTTTTTCAGTTACTCAATTGTTATGATGCATTGATACAGTACATTCCGGACCACTGCCATTTGTCTTGACTTCTATGCTTTAACTGCAGATAGATCAGGAAAAAGCAACTTCAACAGCAATACATTCATAACATGTAAAAGAATCACTAATTTGAGAACAGCATTCCATACTAAATGGACAAATCTTGGTATAAGCTTAAAGTTGCAAACCTGTTAGTTATTTGCTTTGCTACACATTTGTTACCATGAACCTCAAATGTCAGTATATTGGAATGTTTCAGCTGGAAACATGTTCAGAAACAAGTCTAAACATCAAGTATTTGGTATGATGAACTGCAGATGTGCAGGCCTATCCACTGTATTTCTCAGTGCTTTATGTATACTTTATTTCCTTATCCTTGTTGTTTTCTAATGCAGGAAATCCTGAAGGAGTACCGAGAAGGAAAGAGTGGTGAGAGAATGAAGAAGCCAACCGAGCAGGAGAAGCATGAGGTGGCAGCGCGGCACTCGATTTAATGGTCTCTGGCTGATGGTCCCATGGTTGTCATCAGTCTTGGTCCTGATTCTGGGCTTTTGGGGCCCAGCTACAGCTGTTGCAACACCACATGAACAGCATGCCTCAACTGCTTTCTCCAGCCAGGTACCATTGGACTGGTTGCTTACTGATCGAGGACCATTCCACCGAGCCCCAGACTACGTTGACTTTATAGAGCGCTATCGGCAGGGTTTCACCACTAGATACAGGATCTACCGGTAAGTCATCCAGACAAAAGAAAATTTTGCACAAACTGTAACACCATCTAATATTCTTTATGTCAAGCTTTCATGGATTAGTGATGTAAAACAGTACAGAATATAGTATAATATTCTGTATTCTGCATTGGCATATGCCAATAGATATAAGGGACTCTAGTAAGGGGCATGCATGGTAGTTGCTAACTCAAGTGGCATATTTGGAGCATTCATTAAAGGTGGAACAATGTAGGGCAATCAAATAAAGCCCATGAATTCAATAGGAAGATCTGTGGAAGGATCACCCAAAATTTGGAAGCCATGATCATATCGTGCTGCCTCTCTTTATTCAGCAGCCTTTCCTAATCTGGTACTTTCCAAATGTGTTGGAACTGAGATTCTTGACTAGTATGAAAACTTCAGTAGACCCTGAACAGAAATTCTTCATTGACTGAGATTGTGGGAGGAGAGCATCTTGTTCAACTAAAGATCTCATGTGGAGTACAGTAGAGAAATTATTAATCCTCTCCTGAATATTTGATATTGATGGACTTTAGTAACAGGGTGGATCAATCTAACCAAATGAAGTTAGGTGGCCCAAAGCCAACAAAATATTATTCAGTTGTCTGCCTGGTAATTGATACCTATGTTGAAAAGAAATAGCATTTGTTCAACAGAACTTGGTCATTTTCAAATCTGATTTACGTTTATGACTGACAATTGATTTTTTTTCCACGTCTGCAAAGAAACATTTCCAAACATTTAAGATATTGACTGCTTCCAAATCCACTTGAGTTCTTCCCTTACCACAGCAACAAAATAGGAAAAAGAAAAGATTGTTATACAAATGGCACTAAAATAGCAGGCAATTCTGTTTAAGAATGACTGTGCTGGCTGAAAGACAACGGGAGTTTGTTTAACACTAACATAGTGCTTCTCAAACTTGGCAGGTTTAAGACCTGTAGACTTCAACTCTTAGAAGTCCCTAGCCAGCATGGGGAGTTTTAGGAGTTGAAGTCCACACATCTTAAACTGCCAAGTCTGAGAGATACTGTCTTACTTAAATGACACAAGATATTCCAATATGGGCATTCATATTCTTCTATAAGATCAGAGGCTATTTACTTCAAGGAGTTACTGTATCATGAAATTTTGCATGCACACACACCAAGTTTTCTTCATATTCCATACTTTGAGAACTATCACTACAAAAGGCAAAAAGGGACATTAGACATTTTTTAAAAAAGCAAAATGCATTTTTGCAGAACTTGTTTAACCCATAATATCAATGGTGTCTGTTAATACTAAATTTATGTAAGTAAGGAGCTCTTGGTATCTAGCTTGATTTTTATAAACCAATATTAAGGGATTCCTTTGAATAGAACATGCAATAACTATAAAACAGTGTAGTAGATAATTCAATAGTCTTGTGAAAGCAAATGAGCAAAATCTATTCTATAGGGCAGGATCACTGCTTGTGTTGTACTATTTTTAGTATGTTGTGGTTATTTGTATATTTGCTCACTGGCTTTATAACTTTGGCAAGCTGCAACAAAACTGTCAGGCATCAAATTAGATTGGAAAAACAACATTTAAAATTGACAATTCCTTGGCTTCCTCAAAATCATCTCTCTCCAAGAAGAGTTCTTAAAGTTACCCATTACTTCTATGCTACACATAGTATCATTATGAATTGCTAGTCCTGTGTTATGCTTTGGATTTAATTCCAAAAAGGTGTTTCAAAATGTAGGATTGGTATGCAACTCCTTAAAGCAGCTCTGTTTTTCATTAGGAAAAAAAATAACACCTTTAACACCTTTTAGGTGCACAGCTCTATTAACTAGGATGGGCTTCCCCTCATTTTGTTAGCATTTCTGCCCAGCCCTTAAAGTGCATGAGAGTAGGAAAAAATGATTCAAATGAAGAATGATATGTGTTTCTGCTTGCCAAACCTTCATGGGAAGAGAGAAACTGCTTAAGTTAATTATGTACAGTATAGAAATAAACAGCTTAACTAAAGCTGCACATGATATCATAGGTCAAGTCAGAATTAGTTACCTAATTTGTGTGGACTGAACTTTTGAGAAGTGCTTCCAGGGACAAGCAGGGCATCCAGAGGGGTTTGCAGGAAAGGCAAGGAGCCAATTACCTTTTCTGCTCTCCCTAGCCGTCTAGCTCTCCTTAAACAACTAATTGTCCTTCCTTCCCCATTCCGAGTCTGGGGATACTTTGCTAAATAATTAGATATTTCTAACCCATGTTGGTAACCTTTGGCTTAGGCTTCATATGGTATCTGTTTTTGTGGCCTCTGAGACCACTCAGTCTGCAGCAATAAATTCTCTTAGTAGTTTTATTTATTTATTTATTTATTTGATTTGCCAATTGTTTACAAGATAATAAGTATAAGTGTATACATAGTTGTGAATACATGAAATGGGTACATATAAGAAAAATAAAAGAAGAATAAGAGAAACAATAGGACAGGGACGGTAGGCACGTTGGTGCGCTTATGCACGCCCCCTTCTCTCATTGCAAACAAAAGAGCAAGATCTCTATAGTCACAGAAACACTTAGTAACTCTCCAAAGACATAGATATTGAAAAAGAAATTGAAAAACAATTTTATGAATGCTTATAAAACTTCAAATTTTAAAAGCTTTTTTAATGATGTTTCAGATTGTTAGCTACTCAGAGCCTTTAGAAATGAGTGGAATACAATCATCGCAAGTAAAACAACTTTTTTTTTTTTTGCTTCAGTTTCTTTTTTTTCCTTTCTGCTCCAATCTCAAGTAACCACTTACAGTTTAGCCATGTTGTATCTTTTAGATTAGAATTTTGTCTCTATGTTTACAAGAAATCAGCTATAAACAAAATAAACTGGAAAATTTCTTATATAGCTAATCCACATTCTGAAGACATAATATAGGATTCTGGCAAAGCTGATATTGGTTCTGCTTACAGCTTTACTGTAACTTGTTAATGTTTTGATTGTATCTAATTTAGAATACTGATTTTGTTATTACACTGAATATATATATGGAACACATGGAATGGCCTTAAAACAAGTCAGGACACTGCTCCATCTGTTGTTTACTCTGACAGGCAGTTGCTCAAAAAAATATTAAACTGCCTACTTGGAAAACCAAAAGTTTTATCTGATTAGGATTCCCAAAACGGCCAATCAAATGCTAACAAGAAACTAGATCATGAGGACAATGGAAACAATTGACGTGCAAAGATATATTGTTTTGAATATAGTAGTTCTCATACATAGCTTTCATGGCTTGTAGATATGGATTATCTCCCTTTATTTGTCTGTAAAGCTATCCTAGCAACCCTCCAGGGTTATCATGCAGTATAGATTTTCTTCATCTTGCTTCCTAATTGGTAATAACATGAATTGAATCCTATCTCTTGTGCTCTGTAGCTGACCTAGAGTTCTTCATCAGCTGGTACACCAGGGCCACTGGGAGATAACATTTACCAAACCCATTCTGTAGTCTTGTACTTAACTGTTTTATACAGGAAGAATACAAGGGAAAATATTTTTTTTGTAATTCTCTAACACTGGATTTAATTGCAAGTAGTCAACCTTTCTGTCCATAAGTATTATGCATGTTGTGACTGTAAACATAATCCATAGTACGTATTATGTTTTCAAGCTGAAAGATTATAGTCTCTCTCCTTCTCAAACACATTCAGTGCAGTTCATATTGCCTCCCCTTAAATAAATCATCAGAGCAAAACAACATGCTCTGTTCATTATTAGTAACCTGCACTCTCAGCTTGAGGAAGCAAGAGGGAAAGAGAGGAATTTTAGAAAAGCATAAAGGAAAGGAGAACTGTCAGCCAATTTTCTCTATCTGTAATTTAGCTCCACTTACGTATCAATTTATCACAGAGTGGAGCAAACTTTTGGTAGCCCAAGGCAACACATAAGCGGGTGGGGCTATTAAGTGAGAGCTGCAATGAATGGAGCAATGAGACTGCATTAGGCCATATCAAACACATGGCAGGGCAAAAATTTGGGGGGCTATTTTACCCCCCAAGATTTGAGAAAGAAGGAATATGAGAGTTCTGTTGTTTTTGTTTGTCCTTTTCTTTCCTTAATTCTCTTATGCCTTGCTTGTATTTATGTTACATTTACCTTGTATCTCAAAATAGCAAGAAATTATGCGGAGCTGGATTACCATATTTTCTAGTACTGAACTGTGTCATTTCAAAGATCTATTACATGGTTTATTCCAATGTAATAGAGAGTAAAGCTCTGTTCAGAAACTGAGATTTCTGCTATTATTTGGGACACAACTTTTGGTTCGCTATATAATCCCACTCTCTCTATTGTGCATTCCCTATTGATTAATTATCACAATACTCTCCTGGACTCCTGTTTGGAAATTATTAAATTAATCATCCAATTAAAATATGAGAAAATCCAGATAGTGACTTAGTTCCATTTGAGCTGGGGAAGGCAAATGCTGATGGTGGGCCCCTAGTCTGGCCTTCCTCTTACGAGACTGCTGGAAACTATGGTTGGAAGAAATGTCCATCTGGTCCAGTTCCAAGCTGGGAGAAAGGCACTGGAAATAAAATGGAGGCTGGAGGCTGACTGGAAATAAAGTTTCCCTTTATTGGTGAAGCTGAACCACCAACCACATGTGATTCTGGGACAGCTGACAAAATGAAGTTTAGAGTGGTTGGGTTTTATACCTTCTGGATTCCTATGGGGTCATGTAGGGGTCATGGCTGGCTCTATAGGCAAAAGGGGAAATGCAAATCCTAGGTGTTTGTCTGAGCTAATTTGTCACCCTTTGGCTTGTTGCTTATCTGAGTTTCTGCCTGACCCAGTCTTCATGAATGGATTACCAAATCTGCATTTCTAAAAGCTGGCCTCCTCAGTTTCTGCTTGGGGCAGGGAAAAATGGGGCTAGTTTCTGCCTCCCTTAACCCCCCCCCCATTTCTCCTTTAGGGGAAATATTCTATCCTGCCTTTTTGATATTCCTCAAAATATTTCATTTTGG